AAAAAAAAAAAAGAAAGAAAGAAAGAAACCAGCTGCATATATGCATCGTATCTGGGAGATTCAAACTGAGAATTAGTAGTATTCAAAAGCATAGAAAATTCAAACCACTTCACTGCTTCTGAAGAAGTCAGTATCTTTTCTGAAATCCAACAGCTGTGGCCACAGAGGTGGGAGTTGTGGGTTCCATCTCAACTCTTCTACCTGCTAGCTTTCTGGCCATGGGCATATGACTGAGGGTCTCTGGGCATTCATTTCCCCACCTGTGCGGTGGCACTAGTGGAATCTGATCTGCCATACCTCAAGTGGTTATTGTGAGGGTCAGATGATATCAAAATACTGTGCCTCTCTTCGTGCTTTACAGTGGAAGCTCTGCTTCCACAGGGCTAGCTGCTACTGCGGCAGCGGTTGCGAGAAGTGAGAACGATTTTACTACAAGCTTCTGACAACCCAGAACACGTGTGTTTATGCATTTCTTTTTTACCATGCCCCACACATATTACGCTATATGAAATTAAGGCTTCATAAATACTATATGGTGATATACGATACTCAATACTTAGAAAAACTAGGAAGCTTTTGTTTGGACCTTACCTAGTCAATGGGGAGCTGACGTCTTTACAGCCTCCTCCCAACTTCATTTAGTTTGTGCTTATAGTCAGCCATCTTTTAAACATTTAATAATTTCATTTTTTAAAAATAACAGCATTTTTTTTGAGACAGGGTCTCACTCTGTCACCTGGGCTGGAGTGCAATGGTGCAATCTTGGCTCACTGCAGCCTCGACCTCCCAAGCTCAGGCAATCCTCCCACGTAGCTGGGACCACAGGTGCCTGCCACCATGCCTAGCTAAATTTTTTTATATTTTTTGTAAAGCCAGGGTTTCACCATGTTTTCCAGTCTCAAGTTATCCGTCCACCTCAGCCTCCCAAAGTGCTAGGATTACAGGTGTGAGCTACCACGCCTGGCCCAGATAACATTTTTGAATACATATTATGCCCAACGCCCTTTACATGCATTTACTTACTTAAATTCTCACTTACAGACCCTATAAAACCCTATAAAGTTGGGACTATTATTATCCCCATTTTACAGTTGGGGAAACTGAACCACAAGAAATTAAGACCACGCAGCTAGTAAGTGGCAGAGATGAAACTCAAACCCAACAGAACCCCAGTCTCTTAACCACTGCTCTGCTGCCTTCATAAGCATCTTCCAGATTGCTTTGGAAAGTAAACTAGAAGAGTTATTTTTATATTCTTTCTTCTACTGGATTTGATAAAGCCTAGAGTTAGGAGGGAGGAGAGGTGAATACATCACCGAAGCTCATCTGCGAAATGAGAGAATTAGAAGACGATGTGGAGGACCCCCAGGCTCCTGTAGCAGTCCTCACATTGACTCCATTTGGGGCACAGAGTTATTGAGAAAGTAGTTGTCAGCAAGCATGGGGACTAGCAAGTCATGGAGCCCCGAAGGCCATTGCTATCTGTCTCTACATTGATTCCTCCCATGTACACAGGGACCCCCTGGTTCTTTTGACTTCCTGCTTCTTATGCTGGCTGACATCCGCAATGACATCACCGAGCTGCAGGAAAAGGTGTTCCCGCACCGGACTCACTCTTCAGCAGAGGAGTTCCCATTACCTCAGGAATTTCCCAGCTACCCAGAAGCCATGGACCTGGGCTCTGGAGATGACCACCCAAGAAGAATTGAGACAAGAGACTTGAGAGCCCCCAGAGACTTCTATCCATAGCGCACCCCAGCACCGTCATGTCAAAGGAAGGGAAAGATCATTTCACCTGCAGTTAAACCCTCTAAAGAGAAAACTCACCACTGGAGACCTAGAAAACATGTTTTTCTCTTCTCTTCTCCTACTCCTCTTCTTCCAAATATAACACTATATTCAGAGTCCCCTCCTAGGCCTGCAGACACGAGGGAGTGAACGACTGATTTACGTGCTTCCCGCTAAGAGTGTGTTGGAGTGGTTTGCATTGTAATTTTTCTTTTACAACCTACTTTTTCAGGAACTGTGGATTTCAGTACTCTGTGTTTTAAATCATAAATTTTTCAAGTTAAATTTGGCAGAATATCAAAAAGGGGGGAAATGGCAAAGTGAGCTCTAAGAAAATATGAGGCTGCTTTTACGATATATGTTCAGAATAGACCGTAAGTCCTCTAGTATCAGAATTAGGGCTCTTCAATTAAAAAGGGGTGGGAGGACAGATTTGTAGTTGTACTTTGGTGTAGAATTCTTTTTCTTGTCCTGCTAGTAGACTTTAAATATTTTATCCCTTATCTGACCTTGTTTCCCAAATTAAAGAGAGGAGAGAATTGAGTGGAGTTTAGAGAAGATAGAAAAGAATTACAGTGATATATTTACTGTTACATAAATTGCTACCTTCTAAACTTCAAATATGGTGCTTAAGGTTTTATGCCATGCTTATCTGTAAGTATTCTATTTAGGTAAGAAAATTAAACCCTCTTTTCAACAAACAGAAAGTGAAATGCCCTGATTCACATTAAAACAATGGGCTCTGGTTTGGTAGAGTATTTTTAAGCTGTTTAATCAAGAATGAAGCTTGCTCTATAAATCACAGATAATTTGTTCAATAAAGTGGCTGACCTTAGAGGTGCAGAATTCCTGGTGCTGAGCAGGTGCCCAGAAGGTGCCATTCGGTGCCATGATCCAGGCTGAAGCAATGTACAGTGGGGTTCAAGGCTACAAGGAGGTTGCTGGCTTCAGCTGACCTCACTAACGCCATCCGCAGTGGTAGGTAAATTTGTTCTCCTTGGATATTAGGAGTCCTTGTCTGGAGCCAATTGAGCTTGCCAGCATGTTGAGAATAATACACTGTTGAAAGTTATCTTGGATGGAGAGGCAAAAACAAGTGGTTTTCCTTGTTTGCACAAACTTCCTTCCTATTCCTATTTTTCCTCAATTTTCTTTAATTTAGTCTAAGTTCCAGTTCTTGTAGGCCTTCTCTTTGGTTTCTTTTCCCCGGCAATGTGAGAAGCAGTTCAGAAAAGGCTCTATTTCTCAACCTCCCAGTGAGTTAGAGTGTTTTCTCAGAGCACCTCTGGGTCCGCAAGGGAAGCATGCACCTGCCAAGGTTTTCTGTGGATCCAGAAGCACCAGGAGCAAGAGACCAGAAGGGTGGTCTGCTCCTTTGTCACCTTGTCGAGGGACCTCTTGTTTCCAATGAGCAGCTCATAGGTTACTTACATTCCACTTTCTCATTGGACACACAGAGTGGCTCTTTATCTACGTTTGCGGGAGACTTTCACTCTTACATTGAGCTTCACAAATGATCGTTCTCATATTCACTCATGTTGGATTATCCCATCCTGTCATGTCCTTTCCCATTTCTTTTTGGCCTCCACCTTTAGACCACATCATTTAGCTCCATTACTATGAAAGCTTGCTTCAGGAAAATCCCTCTTGTGTTCAAATGCCACCTTTCTGTCTTCTCCCTTAAGAATGATAGGAGGCTGGGTGAGGTGGCTCACGCCTGTAATCCCAGCACTTCGGGAAGCCAAGGCAGGCGAATCACGAGGTCAGGAGATGGAGACCATCTGGCTCACATGGTGAAAACCCATCTCTACTAAAAATACAAAAAAATTAGCCGGGCATAGTGGCATGAGCCTGAAGTCCCAGATACTAGGGAGGCTGAGGCAGGAGAATCGCTTGAACCCAGGAGGTGGAGGTTGCAGTGAGCCGAGATCATGCCACTGCACTCCAGCCTGGGCAACAGAGCAAGACTCTGTCTCAGGGAAAAAAAAGAAAAACTGATAGGAAGGGGCTTTGGAAATCTCTAGTGGCAAGTGTCTTCCTTCCCTTCTTCCTACCATGTTGGAAATGCAGGACTCGTGTCAGTCAGCAGGTGGCTGAGTCTTTGATGAACACTTTGCTCCTCTATTTCTTATTTATGCAGAATCCCTGCTGACTGTCCACTAACATTTTTAAAGTGAAAGCAAACACATTCTTAGTGCTCTTTTCCTAGCATCTCCCTCCTTCTCTCCGCAAAATTCAACACTCGTGACAGAGGGCCACGCCAACCACGGGTTTATGAAGACAGGAACTGAACAGCTGTTGATTCCCATCTGGAATATATTTAATGTTTGCCTGCTTGTGGAGCATCGTATTTAAAGGGTGTGGGTGAATGAATGTTTTTAAAAAAAAACTATGCACAGGCTGTATGAAAGATGGCTAGGTCCATCTTTGCTTATTTTTCAATGAGTAATGTTAATACCTTTTCTTTGTCAGTGAACTGTATTTAGAAATATGATCTTTATTGTCAAATGCTCAAAAAATGCAACCAAACTGCATGTTTGGCCATAGGCTAGAATAATATATTAAGAGAATTAATGGAAAGTAGTCGTATCTGGATTTCATGAAACTATTCCAGATAATGTCCTCCAGCAAAACTTATAGTAACCTGTATTTTATAATGTCAATCTGCTGGACCAAGTTAATTTAGAAAATAATTTTTAATCCTCAGATTTTCAAAACCTTTACTACTGCAAGCTGATATGTACTTCGTATGCCCAAATTATATTTTTCAAAGATAGAACATTATAAGGCAGCATTATTTTGAATGTATCTTTTAGCTGTGGACAGAAAAAGCTTCACTGTCTAAATAGGACTTCTGCTCAAAACCTAACGGGAAAGCCATTTCTGGGGTAAAATGTGCTACACCTATCTAGGTCATTTTATGGTTTATAGTGAAAAAAGAGATCTTTGTACACCTCCTCAACCTGCTAGTAGAAATGTTGACTTCGGTTTTTGCACCCTCATCACTAGGACCTCGTAAGTTGCCTCTGTTCTTCGGAAGCAATGGGAATAAGAATATGCTATTGAAAATAGTACATGGGACCAGGCACCATGGCTCATGCCTGTAATCCCAGCACTTTGGGAGGTGAGCAGATCACAAGATCAGGAGATCGAGACCATGCTGATCGACATGGTGAAACCCTGTCTCAACTAAAACACAAAAAGAAAAAAATCCGGGCATGGTGCCATGTTCCTGTAGTCCCAGCTACTCAGGAGGCTGAGGCAGGAGAATCGCTTGAACTGGGGAGGCAGAGGTTGCAGTGAGCCGAGATCATGCCACTGCACTCCAGCCTGGTGACAGAACGAGACTCCATCTCAAAAAAAAAAAAGGAAATAGTACATGGAGGGCATGCATTTTAGTTTAGAAAAATCCCCCTCCCCCTCTCCAGTTCCAGAGGGAGAAATTATAATCTATACTGTGCCAGAAGGGAGTGGGGCTGCAGAGAGGATGGTGCCTTTTCTTGCCTTCTGCGGTAATGTCCAACACCTGCCGTAGGTTTCCTTGCCCAAACGAAGTCATTTCTACTGTATAAACTCAGACAAGTGTGCCATAGCCAAACATAGGTCAATAAAAAATGTTCATTGGTTTTGGAAGGAAAGAGAGGGGAGTATTACCCCACCAAATACCAGTGAACAGCACCCTGGCTTTGGTCATCTGTCCAAGGCTTATAATTTCTGTGGGCCTGGTAAGCCCTGTTCCCAGGTAAGCAACGGAAGACTTCTCCAGGGCAGGCATCGCTGTGGGTTTTCAGGCAGCAACTCCCCCATCAGATTTTGGGTGTTACTCCCCACCATCTCTCCCCACATCTCAGCCTGTCCCTCAGAAATGACCACAGCAGCCTCATTCAGCAGACTTAACATCTTTCAGATAACCTTCCTGAAAAGGAAAGTAATTGCATGAATCCAGGCCAAACAACGAGTAGAAGAGAGCCATCCAAAGTCATTAATAATGAGTTCAGGGAAGTAGATGCATTTTTTCCTGGCACAGCCAATATGTCTATCTCATAACAAATCAAAAAATAATTTTCCATTTGGAAAAGCAAACACCATGACTGTAATTGTTAATGCGTACAATCATGAACTTCACACCCTCCTCCTCAAATGTTACGGCTTTAGGGAAATCATAGAAAAGGACCCTTTTGTCCCCCAGGGGATCAAAGCAAGTCCTCTTAGGAATTTGATGTGTGCCACGGGTCTGTTTTTCTTTCACAGTGACTAGTCATGTTCTGCAGTAGCTCTGTTGTTCATTGTTGGTAATAGGTCCATATCACAGTCAAACTGGCATTCAAACAATTATGGGCGTGATACTATGATGTCCTTTTTATATGATTGTATGTGCTTAATAACAAAGTTATTTTTCTTACATGGCTGTATTGTGTTTTGTCCTGACACCCAGTTTTGTGAAGCAGGTCATCTTTTTACCCAACAGACAAGGCGACGGATTGGTACATTTCTCTTGGGAGCTGAAATCTAGAATCTGAGTCAGCCACCTCTGGGATCTGGATGTGGTGAAAGCATTTGAATCTGAGTCAAGGTCTGAAGGCCCAGGTACCACTGAGTGTGGGTACCCTGCAGTCTCCCTATCTGAGATTCCCAGGGTGGGATTTTCAAACCAAGAACCCTCTGGATGCTCATTGGAGCTGCCTTAGGAGCTCACAACGAGAGTCCTGTGAAGGCTGAGTGCTCCTTGCTCCCAGCACTGCACACACGGTGACTCAGTGTTCAACTAGTTTCCTGTTTTGGATCAGAATTTCACGTAGGATTTCCATTGGCGGATGCAGTGGCTCATGCCTCTAGTCTTAGCTACTCAAGACGCTGGAGTAGGAGGATCCCTTGAGCCCAGGAGTTCAAGGCCAGTCTGGGCAACATAGCAAGACCCTATCCCTAAAAAAAAATAAAAAAGTTTTATTAAATGTGGCACTTCCCCCTAGAAGGGCAGAAACCCCAGGAACCAGTCTGCCTCTTTTTAAAAAAAAAAAATTTAAAAAAAAAAAAAAAAAAAATTTCCTTTTAGGGTGGGGGAAAGCTGACTACTTTAAAGTTGGAAGGAAGAACTCTCATGAGTTGGTAGCTGAAGCCCTCTATGTAAAGATAAGAGGAGGGGAATTTTGGTCAACTGGGCCATATGGGAAGTGGAGTGCTATGGTAAAATGGGAGCTTATTTCTAAAGGATTTTAGCCATCCCTTAGCAGGGTACATTTAGCATCCTGAAGCTAACCTATATTTATACGTCTCACTTTGTTTAGTAAATATTTGAGTGCCTATTGCAACCTGGGCACTGTGCTCTGCACTGCAGACACAATTGGGAGCAAAAGCATCTTAATCCCTGTCCTGCTGGAGATTTTTGGCAACAAAGACAAGGATCCTTCCAGACAAAATAAATTAATCACATAAATATGTGATTACAAACCACGATAAGCTACAAAGTATTGGGTGTTACGAGAGCCAATAAGGGTTCATGCCAAGGGAGCCCGCCCTTGGCTCCGTGATGCACTCCCAGAGCCACACACTCAAAGCAGCCAACAGCACTCGCATCAGCTGCACAGGACCTCATGGCCCTCCCAGCCTTTCCCAGACAGCAGCTCCGCAAAGGCTCTGGGTGACACAGCAGATTATGGAAATCTGGGAGACCACTTCATATGTAATGTTTCCAGCCCT